AATGCGACAATTTTATTTATAGTGAATTGTTTATTAGTCATCAAACTTACCTTACAAATTATTAATGGTCTCGAGTGGATGTGAATTTAAGCAAGAAAAAGATTGATTTATAAAATTTCATAAGTTTAATTTGCGAATTGACTTCAAACAAATCACTGATGTGACAAAATAAAAAGCAAACAATGTGTTTGAAAAGCATTCTGAAAAAATTTCATTTTAAAAGGTAAACATAAGAAAGCTAATTTATCAATTTAACATTGATAATATAAGCAAAAAAAAATCACTACCTCATAAGCATTAATGTTAATTTAAATGTCGCTTATCTTAACTAATTAGCAACAAATAGCTTAGATAATTGCATGTGAATTAAACCGGAAATTTGCTAGCTGATTTTATTTGACATTTTAGAATAATTCCACGTATGCAACAAATAGTCTAACATACCAATGTCAGGTTTAATATCTTATAATTAAGTAGGAATTATTCACTGATTAAAATTACCTTAAATATTATTGGTGTTCGATAAATGTGATATGCTCGATTTCGTGAAAAATATGGTACTGAAAATGCAAAAATTTTATCACCACTTATTTGATTACGATTAATAAATCCATCATTCAAACATTTATCATCACTTAGTTTTTTAATAATTATATTGCCATCAAGAATTTTTTCATTTGCAAAATTTATTTAATTCAGGCATAGACATGAAAATAGGAAAAAATACAGCAAGTTTTTTTTTTTTAAATTTTGATGAAAAATTTGGTTATGAAAACTCATTCTTTCTTAATTTGCCTCTTTTTTTTTGCTTTATTGACAGAGTTTACTTTTCTTTTCTTAATATTATTACTTTGTTAACAATTAATAAAAATTAATCAAGCTTTAAACAGTTTTATCTCATTGTATTAATCTTTAATGTAAATTTAATGCAATTCTTAAGAATCAAATGATTCTAAATAAATGCTTGTAAACTGACTGTTTAATGTGTTTACAGAGTTAAATTAATTATTAAGTAAAGATTTTCCGGCATTCTGGTAAAATTAATTTACTTTACATAACTAACTTTTATCTAAATTAACTTTTAAATTAACATCTGTCTACACCTTTCTTTCGATCAAACTACCCTTCATTTAATTTTATTCAGAGAAATCAAAAAGCAAAAAAAAAACCAGCATATGATACAAGTGCAGCATAATCATGTTTTTGAATTGGTGATATCAATTTGGATTTTATAAGTCCTCGTAAGCATGCGTATATCGCAAATTCTTCATCACTATCATGTTTCGAATTATCATCATAAGTTGGGAAAAAAAATTCTCTTTTAATTGGAAATTAAATAATTAAATTATAGCACTAATTAATATTATCATATCTTTTTGTTACAGTCATGAAAATGTAATTGTAATTTTAAGAAAAAAGAGAAAAAAGAAAATATGTTAACTTATGAAGGAACAAATAAAACAAAACCTTTGTCGTATCACTATTGTATAGCGATAATATTATTTCTTTATCATCATTTCCGATATAAATAATTGATGATTTATCATTTTTATCATCATGTTGTTGATGCAACAATGAGGGTTGTGTTGCAAAACTGCTTTGTTGATAACTCATGCTTACTTCTGATGACCAATTTTTGACAGAGGAATTGCATATATAACAAAGTTCTTTTTTTTGTTTTAAAAATTTTCAAAATAAGAATATAACTTATCATGCATAAATGAAGCAATTTTTTATTTTACCCAAAAAATGATAATTTTTGATATATATGTATTTTTAATCAAGTACAAAGATTTTCAATTAATTCGAATGAAATTAATTAGAACCACAAAAGTTAGCTGATCATTTGCAGCAGCGGTTGTCCTTTCCAATCATTACGTGGTAATATCAAAAACCGTTTATTGAGGATGATGAATTAAAGTTAGAATATCACACAGGAAAAGTTTTTTCCACTTTTTTTGATTTGAATTTCTTGCTGTACAAAGACTATTAAAGTATTAAGCTATTAAATATTAAATAACTGAAATTTAAAAAATATTTCAATTTTGTTCTATTTTTAACCTTGTTCCTAATTCATTTCAAAAGAACCTTTGAAATCTTTGAAATTTTCAGAAATCTTTAATAGTTTTCCGTGAAAAAACGATATATTAATGATTTTTTAGTTTAAAATATCATCCAACGAATACATGCATTGAAAATTTTCAAAGCATGAAGAATATTTTTGCATTTTAATCCAATTTTAGGATGAACGTACTAATTTTTCTAATTTAGGATAGGGAATTGGCTAATTTCAATTTATCTTACCTATGAATGAATAAAGAATGGGATATTTTCGTTGTTAAAAATCGAGTATGTTTTAATTTGGATAATTAAATTACAATTATTGCCTAGTAATTAAGGACAGCTCTAAAGCTTTCAACTTTTCGATAAATATAGCAAAAAGATTCTACTAAATTTTGAAGGTTTAATTTTACTTTAGTATCTGTTTTTTTTTTTTTTAAAAATAATTTAGTTCATTAATTTAGACAGCTAGTTGCTTGATATGGCAGCAAAACGTGTTGTAACAGAAATCCAAGGAATATCACTATCGAATTCTCCACCATCTTCTCCTGGTGATTTGCAATCATTATACATATCTCGATGAAGTATTGCAAAATCGTAAATCTTTTTGTATAAAATCCTTGGATAATTTTTACGGGATAAAAAGTTAGTTAGTTTTCATGACCAAGTTTCTTTTGTTATAAAATTTATAAACGGAAAGGAAGGGAAAGACAGGGGAAGGGAAGAGACAAATAATTTCGATATACTGCAAGCAGATACTTTTCATTTGTGGCAAAATATTTCAAAGTCGTCGAGGATGTTAACGTTATCGGGGATGTCAATAACATCGTCGATGTCAATATCTTCTATGTCAACAACAACATTGT